AGTCTTGAATTGTCTAATTAAATTAAATTAAATTAATATTGTTTCTACTTATACGACAAGGCACCAATAAGGTATTATTTCTACATTTGGTTTGTTTCAATTTCAAGATTAATATAATGATCATATTATAATAATTAACGAGCCCATTGACAACGGTTTGGCAAGTCATTTATGTTGGAATAAAAAAAATGGAAAATTAGTAACTTTCTTATACATACATACTATACAATATCTGTGTATTACACGTGTGTTTGTTAAAAAATTTATATTTAAAATTAAAAATAATGATAAAAAAATATTTTAATTTCAAATACATTTTTGAGTAACTATATTACTATTTATATTTAAAATAATATGGATCACTTATACGGCTTACCATATTATATTATATATATTTTTTAAATTCTATCATTTAACAACTTTGTAGTTAAATTGATTTACATCATTTTTTTAATTAATATTAATAGGTAATTTAATTTTTATTATAAAGATAAATATAATTATTTTTTATTTTGTATGTACAATATAAGTGTCAAATCAAAGCTCATCAAAATATGATTAATTTGATATATTATGCATAAAAATTGATAATAAATAAAAAATATTATTGTTTAAATCTACTTATAATTTAAGTTAGTAATTGTTTCATAATTTTACAAGAAAGACGAAGAAAAAAGAAAGATTGAGGAAAAAAATTATGCCTTATAGATCACGCCTGTAACCTCAAAAAATTATGCTTTATAAATCACGCTTGTAATAGGAATAATATTTGCTCTTAAAAATGAGCATAAATATCTACTATATTAAGATATATAGTATAAAAAATTTATCCAAACCAAATCACATTTAAAATTCATCCAAGTTCAGATATTAATGCTCTTAAAAATGATATTAATGCCTTATAAATCACGTTTATGATGTAAAATGATATTAATGCCTTATAAATCACGTTTATAGAGTCCGAAGAATACAAGTCAACTACTTAAACTCATCATATTCAAAAATTATATATAGGAAGATTTATTCTGCTACCCATGCTGGGCAGCTAGTTGCAAATCACAAAAATCTACATCTTATTACACGGGCCAGATAGAGAATTTTGAAAGATGGCCCAAATTGTACGATATAAGCCCGCCACAACTCTAAGCCACACAAATTTGTCGAACTTGATGTGGCTATGATCAGCAAATTATGTGTAATTTGTTAAGATATATCCTGATTCAACATGCCCATTAAACTCGATATAGATAAAATAAAAGCTTTTTTAAGCTAATTTTAATATTTAGAAGCTCATGTTAAACATTTTTTTTTTCAAACAATTGTATTCATCCAAGCCAAATCGCATTTAAAATTCATCCAAATTCAGATATTAATGCTCTTAAAAAATATTTTAGTGCCTTATAAATCACGTCTATGATGCGAAATAATATTAATGATCTTAAAAATGACCATAAACATCTACTATATTCTGCGAGTCACATAGGATTCCGAAGAATGTGAGTCAACCACTTAAGCTCAGCATATTCAAAAATTATATATAAGGGGATTTATTTTGCGATCCATGCTGGGCCAGGTAGTTGCAAATCACAAAAGTCTACGTCTTATTACACGGGCCAGAAAGAGAATTTTGAAAGATGGCCCAAATTGCACGATATAAGCCCGCCACAACTCTAAGCCCACAGAACAAAATTTTGTCGAACTTGATGTGCCTATGATCAGCAAATTATGTGTAATTTGTTAAGATATATCCTGATTCAACATGCCCATTGAACTCGATATAGATGAAATAAGAGCTTTTTTAAGCTACTTTTAATATTTAGAAGCTCATGCTAAATATTTTTTTTTCAAACAATAGTATTACTAGTATGACATCCGTGTACTATACGGGTTGCTTGAAAAAAGTATAAAATATAAAATAATAGAAAAAACACATGTTGTCGTATAAAAGTGCAAAAATAGAAAATATCACATTTTTTTTATAAATATATTAATTGATAAATTTTATTTTTCTAATTAATATTAAAAAAATTATTATGGTTATAAAGATAAATATAATTTATTTCCACGTAAGCTTCCGAAGCGTGCGAGCCAGCCATTTAGGCTCAATATATTTTGAAATTATATTAAGGGGGATGAATATATCTTACCCGTGCACTTTATAAGCTGCAATTATTACATTTCTGAAATTTATAACAATCAGAGAAACGGCACGCATGCATAAGTGTTAGTGTGAAGGTATCAAATTAATTATAAATCAATAATTTGTATGAATACAAAATCAAAATAAATATTTACAAATATGAATTCGTGCACATTAAAAATATACACTATTCATAAAAAAATTGCATCGACCTAGCAATATTCGTGCAAATAAATATTCATGAATAGTTGTTACAGTTCAATAAAAAGTCTTACTTTTCTATATATAAATTATTTTAAAATATTTGTATAAATATTTTGAAAACATGGTAAAAATATTTTTATGGATGTTAAAATTGAATTTACTAAAATGTTTGAAATTTTCACCATTTTTTTATAACATTCTAATTTTATAGATAATTTTTTTTGATAATATTTTTGTTATAATTTTGAAATATTTTATAATTGTCTTGATAATCATAGGATTGAATTTGTACCCGTGATAAATCAAGATTTTTTTTACATTATAAATCAAATTTTTTTATACATAATAAACCAAGTTGTTGTAGTTATATTTTTATATGTTTGGTAAATTTATTAAAAAAATAATACAACATTGACATTCTAGACAATCGAAATTATGAAACCATGGGTATCATAAAATGGAATTCCAAGGACGACGAAGACGACAATTCCTACTGCGATTACCACCCGAACCAACAACCAACCTCCCATTCTAATACAACTCAGATTATCATAAAGTTAGAGATGTTTGCTGCGCATGTTGTTGAGACTCTTCGACTATTTATTTGTCTCCTATATTAATAACGCATAGGATTTGCTATATTAATAATCTGTCGCATAGCATTTGCTATATTAATAATCTGTGTTGTTGAGACTCTTCGACTATTTATTTGTCTCCTATATTAATAACGCATAGGATTTGCTATATTAATAATCTGTCGCATAGCATTTGCTATATTAATAATCTGTCTCCTATATTAATAAGGCATAGGACTTAGAACCAATGAAATTTTGAGTATACTAGTCTTACTCTTACTCTAATAATGTCCAATATTAAATATAAATTATGATGCATTAAAACGACCTAGCATTAAAAGCCATGGAATTTAACATAACAGTGATCCAAATATATTAAGTAATATGTATAAATTATAGTTGATATTATTTAACATGCATCAATACTAACTAATAATATATTATTAGTAATTTGATGTAACATGTTAAATAATATTAGTCGGGTATATTTTTATTCTAGTTCAAAATAATATTATTCCATTTGTATTAACATGTTAAATAATAACTTAAATAAAGTCGATGCCACACAGTGATCCACTTACAAATTATTAATACAATATTAATAATTTACTCTTACTCTTCCAAATCCTATACTCTTAAAATTATGATGCGTTACTCTAATATAATTTCAGAATTTCGTTTTAACATAATTTTTATCCGAACTAAAAGCCGAAACATGTAATATTGTAAGTAAGCTTTCGAAATGTGCGAGCGAACTATTTAAACTCAACACGTTTTGAAATTATATTAAGAAAGATTAATTTAAAAAATGATTACGTATGCACTAGTAATACAAATCACCTTTGTTACTTTGTATCTAAAATACAAATAAACAACACAAAGGTGAAATACTGCTAGTTCCCGGGATTTCACCACAAAAGACACTGGACATTACACTTTTGGATACATAACAACTTTTTTCAACAGAGAGACGAAACCAACCTAGGATCACAATTATTCCAATTTCATAATAACATAAAAAAGTAACAAAACACAAAATAAAATACAAACTACAAACCTAAATCACAAACCTAGAGTAACTGTACAAATCTCTCGTCATCTATAGAGTGGAGCAGAAGACTCAGAGTCATTTAAATAAGAGTGTGTTTGGTAAGCATCATAAGTTAGCTTATAGTTTATTTGATGAATTTATAGGGGATGCTTGGTTATAGAATATGTTGATTTTGTTTGGATTTTTTTGGTTTTGTATGGTTAATTTTGAAATAATGGTATGATTAGTTGTTAATGAGATTTTGAATATATATAAACTAATTTTTAAAAATAATTAAAGTTGATTTTATATAAAAGTATGATAGATATGATGTGAAGTGATGATTAGTTAAAATTATGTGAGTGGATGAATAGTGAATTAATGGTGATATAATATGTAAGAATGATTAAGTTATATTATTTAGTTATATTGATAATACTGAGGATAGTGGGATTCAGTTAAAGTTGAGTTAGATTTGAATTAAAATAAGTTATTGGTTAAACATGATTGAATTTTTTAGATAAATTTGTGCCCAAGCATCCCTAAGCTTCTTGTATTCAAATAAGTTTAGTTTAATAGCTAAGTTTTTTCAAATGTTTGATCTTATCTCTCGTAAACTTTTTTGGATAACTTTTCAAATAAGCTATTTGAAATACTTATTTCAACTGACTTATCAGCTACTTTTATAACACTTTCATCATATAAACTAGTATTTCAGTAATAAGCAATAAGTTATGATTTATAAGGTCGAAATTTACTTATGCTACTTTATAAGATAATTAAATTTACCAAACATTGTCTAATTACTCAATAATCAACTCCAACGGGCACAAACTCACATAGTAATACCCATTTTTTGCCATTAAAAATGAATATTGCCCCGGTCCAAACAAAACGTGAGGAAGTTTGTGATAAGGAAATCCAAGGTGGGGACTCCTAATTCTAATATGAGGACCAAATCCAACCAGTCACAACTTTTGGATAAGAGAATAATCCAAAAACTTTTGTATTCTCATTTACTGCACTCGCATGAAAACTTC